GAAGGCTATTCTTCACAAAACTACAAACTCTGTAGTGTCTGCTTGAGGCAATGCAAGATATGGTACTAGGGAAGCAACGCAACAATTTTTCCTGATTTGGTGGGTTCCAAATATGAGAAAGGTGATGATATGATGTAAACAGTTTTATTCATAGGGGTTTGGTGTGATGATAATAGTAATACTAACATTATTGTAATTTACAGGAGTTGATGATATAAGTTTCTATTTTTGGAGTTCAGGCGCAACAGTCAGAAAATTGAAATGTGGGTTTCACACTAATAAGCAGTAAAATAGTTTTTCGCATTGTTAAATTTGCATTTATGTCACCTATACATCATAGAATCCAGTTTATGTGAGAACTAAAGAAGCGCTTATGAAAGTCTTTGAACCGCAAATGGTACTTCCTATACGATATGCTGAATGTGAATTTTACATAAATTGCGTGAAAATGTGATGAGAGAAACAAAGTAAAGAATAGTTTGAATGCTTATACCGAGAAAGGGGATGCTTATGAGTCACTTCCATACCAGTAATCAAGGGATCAGGGTGTTTTCTGCATGATAGGATTTTACAACTTCGCATTGCACACCACGCGCGCTACTTCACGACTTGTGGGATTCTCCATTTGATTTCCTGGGATTTCTTCTGGTTTTCTTCTCTCTTTTGGTTTGATGGGATATGTTAAGTAGTAGTACACATGCCTCACCCCTGTAAAATGTTTGGCTAATTAGTTATTAGCAAGTTGTAGTCGGTTGCGGCGCGCAGTGTGCAGGTTCACTTGCTGGGTTACAAATGGCTCTCGCATATGTATGTAGTGAGTGGTAAAGTCAGTTACATAGAACAGCTAACTTAGAATTCGTAATAATTCAAATCGAGAATGCATCTTCATAGTCCTGTAGTTCACATTCAAATCGCTCTAGCGATTTTTTTACTCTGGTAAATGTACCACTTCTAATCCCCCAAAATCAATAGTTGATGATTAACAGAAAGTCTTGGAAAAAAAGAGCCACACGAAACTGTAGAAACACAGTCACCAAAAGAAAACAGTCAAGAATTTGTACTGGCATCACATTCCATTGTTTCACGTCAGTGCAATGAATATAAATAACACATGCGAATTTTAGCAGGGAAAAGTGTCGAAAATAACGGAAAACATGCATGCATGCCAGAAAGGTTTCTAGGGGAGCATAGTTTTGAAAATTGCATCGTAAAGTCTTTCGACACATGCATCATCTGTGAGACATTCTATTTGTGCCATCTCGGCTGCAATCATTAAATTGCCAACAACATCTTTGTTTGTCCT